ATTATTATTATTATTATTATTATTATTATTATTATTATTATTATTATATAACATACACTTTATAATATTTTTTTGTAATTTTTACATAGTCAGCCCTTACTCAGAGCTATTTAGTCAAAACACAAGTGCAGACCTTTGACCGTTTTGGTAATGGCCCCGTTGCTCCAGTGAAAAAGATCACATGGCCGGTGCGCCCTCTCGTGTTTTATATAGCTCCATGATCCATGCCAACCGTTGATAAAAGTGAATGCAAAGATGCAACATCAAATTTAAAAATAATTTCCAATAACTTTACATCAGACAAGCGGCCATAGTCAGTGATAGTAACAAATATGCACAAACCACAAATAAAAGTTGAGTGAATGAATATATCTAGCCCATAATGCACTGCAATATACTGACTTGGAGGATTATGTAACAAAAGGTCCATGCTGCTATAGGCTTGGACTGCTGAAGTAGAAACTGGCCACACGTCTTCAAATGTCTGCAGTCTTTACTCGTACACCTCCTGTTTCTATTTGTAATTATTTCTATCATTAACCTGTTTTTCTTTATTTCTGTCCATAAAAGCTACACCTGGACCAATTATCCTGTGTTTGTCTATATCTTTTTCCTGTCCTCTCAACCACCAGCCAGAAAATTTCACTCCATTGGATTTAAATCTGGATCTGTTTTGGACTGAATTAGCCATGAAGCCACTTCTACAAATCGAATTTAAAAAGGTGATCGACTAACAGATAAGTGTAAACTGAGGTTTTAAATGTGGGGAAAAAAGACTCTGTGGTACAGATTGATGAACGAGAGATCCAGAGAGACCAGGGACAGAACGGCTAAAAGTTCTCGAGCCTGTTGTGGATAACTTAGAAGATCAAACAGAGGAGAATCTTAAATTTATGAGATTAACCAGGAGACAATGGAGTTGTGTGAAAAATGGAGCAATGTGTTCAGTTGATAAAAATGTTGGTGACTTCTGGAGCAATTAAAGTCTAGGTAAAAAATTATGTAGTTGAACAAAGAGAAGAAAATCAACACATGAAGTTCCGTAACTAAGTTGAAAAATAGGTCGATGTAGAAAGGGTGGACTTGGAGCCAGTCAGAGGAAATATTGTGTTATTCACTGAGTTTAAGGAAGTTTTAAGCAAACCAGTTCCTAATGTCTCCTAATCAGTCAAACACAGAAGAGGGAAGAAAAACAAATGTGGGTTTAGCAGACAGGTACAGCAGGGTGTCATCAGCATATCAGGGAAGTTGAATGTGGTGATTCCTGAAAAAAGAAAATAATGTGAATGTGTAAAAGTCTTTCAGTTAACATAAGATTGATAAATGTGTAAAGAAATGCAGAGAAGTGCACACTACAAAAAAAAAGACAAATGCAAAGCAGGTCAGGGAACAAAGATGTTTTGGTTTATTTATTTTAAAACAATCTCAGATACAATGCAATACAACCAATCAACTATTGACAATGTTTGCTGGAAATAAAAAGACACAATCATCGGATCATCAGTTCAGTGCACATAAATATGTATATGTTATATATTTATCTATATTTATGTACATTAAAATAAGTTAAACAAATCTTTCTTTAAATGCTGACCAGGTTGTGATCACTTACTTATGCACCTCCAAACTAAAGAGACAAGGACCACAGTCGCTGTTTTGTGCAAAATCATTCTTAAATTCCAGTTAGGGCTTATCTGAGTTCAGCAACCAGATTTTCCAAAACACCTCCTTAGTCTTTACAAAGAGACTCTCCTGTTTGAGCCTCGGTACAGGAGCAGGAGAACAAAGAGCATTTTGTCAGGAAAAGACTAACTTTGGATGGACCCTCCTGAAATGGTCTGATCTGGACAATGCCTTTTTGAACAGACACAGTGACTGGTGCAGGAACTGACCACCAACATAAATCAATGACATTTTTCAAATGAAGATCCAGCTCTGATTGTTTCCAGAAGATTGGCATTCTGTCAAAACCACAGTGGCACCAGCTACTGTCAAACATTTGCCTGAAGAGGGGTTCTTCACGTGGTCTGTCTGCAAACAGCATGAAGAAGGTCAAACATCATCCGGCATATTAAAACGATGGTTTTAGAAATGGAGTGCCAGAAATGAGGAAATGGAAATCTTAACTTCCCTTTACAACATATGTGTCAAACTCAAGGCCTGAGAACCAAATGTGGCCCTCAACGACATCTTATCTGGCCTTCAAGATGTTATTTTAAATGTAAACTACTTTTGTCACTTTATTTATTTCAGTAATCTTTGATTATGATGTCAAAAATGCAACAGAGAACTTCAAATGAGACCAATCAAACTGTTGTTGAGGAACCTGCAACCAAGAAAAGATGTTTGGGATCTGACTTGAGTTTTTGTAGTTTCTGAAACCGGCCCTTAGTTGTTAAAGGTTTTAATTTTGGCCCCCTTTTGTAAGTGGGTTTGACACCCCTGATTTACAACATGGACAGTGTTATAACAATGAGCTGCAACAAAAGACTAAGACCGTGTAGTACCTGTGTAATGATCCAAACTTGTTCTGGTGCCGCGTTTTTCTTCAGACGGCACCGTTCAAGACAAACCCCTTTTCCTTGGGCTGCATGCAAACACATCTCAATACCTGCGCTGAGTCGTATCTCTTGTTTGGACGTGTACTCAAAATACTAGAAAGAACAAAATACTTTGTTTAGATCTGGATAATTGTGTTTAATACTACTTTCCAACTCAATGTATAAAATTGTAGTAATAGTAACTTAAAGAGTTTGACAGTTCCAGATTGTTACGGTAAGTTTGGCAGCTCTTAAAGGCCAGGGGCCTCAGGTATCAGTGAGCAGCTTTCATACTGAAAGTTAGTGTAGGGACAAAATGGGAAAACTGTGTGCGCACAAAAATATTCAGATATATCAAATCGTGCGCACGCATGTTTCTGTGCGCCTTTTTCTTTATGTAGCCGGAAAAACGTGGAACTGAGCGTACATAAGACAACTTCCTGACATGCCTCCATTTAAATATACAAATACTGGTAGATGCAAATGTATCTTGCATGTGAGATTCTCCACTCTGCGTGATTGAAAATAATATTTAGATGCAGGAAAAGAAGGGATTTAATGAAATGGGAGTCAACAATGCTACTAAGTATAAGACAGTGGGGCGTAAAAACATATTCGGCAAATATTCTTTGCGAATGTGCAAAGAGGAGGGCTTGTGCATGTGAAGCTGCGGTTGTCATTAAATGAAGTGAATAGGTGGCGCTGATCTGCCGGCAGAGCACTTCTGAGGCTGAGGCATTTCCAACTTCACGCATGTGTTTAATAACATAATTACTGTGAACACAGGGATGCTCAGAAGCTTAGAAGAACTTAGAGGCCTTTTTTTTAAAAATAACTGATGTAAAGAAATGCGTCGCTGCACATCAAGAGACTTTCAGCCGCAGTGTAGGGAATTTGATGTATCAGGGCATCATATGGTTCAGACTGTCCCAAACAGCTGGCATGCAAAGCTCAAGGATGATTATGAAATACCCAACCTGTCAGCCAGCTCTCTCTGAAAGGCTCTGGTTCAAAGGAACCCTGGCATGGTGAGAACTTGAGCTGGAACAGATACACATCTCATCTAGTTTAATTTTGTAAAGCTGGAGCCAATTCAGTGCAAAGTTCCAAAACAGTGGCCCTGAGTAAATCAGATAATCAGCCATGAACAGGCATGCTTGTGTGCCAGCAAGTCTATGTAACTCCCAAAACCAAGCTGCTTCCCAGGTCCTCCATTGGTGATGTCCTCCAGCAGCTGCAAAGCTGCTATTGCTTCACAGTCCTGCACAACTTTACGCAGCTCTTTATGGTCATGTGTCACTGCCTACAACTTGTCACCCTGAAGAATGATCACAGGTAAATCATATACTGATCAGACACGCCATCTTCTCTCTGATGTAAAATGTGACTTCTTCTCTGATAATGTACATTAGACAATTCACACACATTTTACGAGCCTGATCTGTCTGTGCACCTTGCAAACCTGCGGTCATCAACGCATGTTCATATGTACATGTGACAAAAATACAGAAAACTTTACAATTGTCAATCAATTTTTGAGGTATATGTTATGTTCAATGCGGTTCACTTTCATAGTTCAGCTTTAACCCATAAATGCTCTAACTCGAGAAAACATTATGTTAAATGTCCCTTTAGTTCAGAAAACCAAACGATCCAGTGGTAAATACTGGTCAAAGGGGTCAGATCCCAGCTGGGTTTAATATTTTTATCTAAATACGTAAAACCTTAAAATTGAAAGAGGGAGGACTTTTCCCCTTGACTGTAAATGTTGTGGTGATAACAGAAAACTGTCATTTATTGGTCAAAGGAATTAATTAATATCACAAGATTCAATTACTTGGCTTCAGTGTTTGAAAAGAAAGAGATAAAAATGACAAATAAGAAGGAGAAATTTTATTTTATCATTTTAAAAACGCTTGGTTAAAAAAAAAACTTGTGATACCTGTGCATCTCCCTGGTTTTTACAGTTGACCCTCTGACCAGGGGTCCATTGCTTTTTGGTCCTTTTTGCATCCAGTCGGCACTTCCAAGCTGTGTTTTCCAACTTTAAATCATTCAACAACAAAATCATAATTGGACACTGTAAAGAGATGATGCAGGAAATAATAAATAATCAAAACAATTAAAAATAGTTTACCTGCCCATGCTTTGCCGGCCTAATTTCAGGAACATATGCTTCTGGGTAAACATTGTTTAAATACCAAGTAAAGTTCTTGCACTTTAATCTTCCCCTGAGTTTATGACGTTCAGAAACATTTCCAAAAGAGTTCTGAGAAGAAAATGACAAATTTAGGACCAAAAGGTGCTCCGTGTCATAGACTTTGACATCTTGTTTAAATTCTTGATAAATTGTACATTTGTTCCAATACCATTTTAAAAAGGGAACCAGCCAATCTGTTTGTACGATAAAAGACTTGTTTGTAGTCGTCCATCCAGACCTCAGCGAGGCGCACCAGGTTGCGGACGACGACAGAGATGCCATTTGGGAAAGTGTGGGGGCTTTTCTTACGAAAAATATGCCCCACTACCGAACAAGGAAGAATCTCCAAAAGGCCTCCACACTGCCAGACCTGCAAAACCAAAACATGCATATACAGTAAATATACAGTATATATATATATATATATAAATTAATGTCAGGACAATACATTTGAAATGTACAGGTGCATCTAAAAACAATTAGAACATTGTGAAAAAAGTTAAATTAATTTTGCCAGTCATTTCAGAAAGTGAAACTCATGGATTATATATATTTATTGCACATAGATGAAATATTTCAAGCCTTTATGTCTTATAATTTTGATTATTGCAGCTTACAAATACTGTAATGTAAAAAATTCAGTGTAGACATGAGCTCCAAACGTCTCATTCCTCAAGTCGAGCCACTTCTGAACCAGAGACCATGTCAGAAGTGTCTTACCTGCTGAGGAGACAAAGAACTGGACTGTTGCTCAGTGGTTCAATGTCCTCTTTTCAGATTAAAGTAAATTTTCATGTCATGTGTAAATCATGGTCTCAGAGTCTGGAGGAAGAGTGGAGAGGTCCAGAATCCACGTTGCTTGAAGTCCAGAGTGAAGTTTCCTCAGTCAGTGATGGTTTGGGTCCATGTCTTCTGCTGGTGTTGGTCCACTGTGTTTTCTGAAGTCCACAGTCAACGCAGCATCTACCAGGACATGTTAGAGACTTCATGCTTCCTTCTGCTGATGAGCTTCATGGAGATGCTGATTTCATTTTCCAGCAATACATGGCTCCAGCCCACACTGACAAAAGTGCTAAAAGCTGGCTGTGGAATATTCTAACAATCTGAGACTGAATTTTGTTTTTTCATTGTTTGTAAGCCACCCATCATTATCTTTTACCCGCTTCTTCCATTTTTGGGTCATGGAGATCACCAGTGCCCATGTCCAGCAATCACTGTGCGAGGGGCGGTGTACACCCTGGACAGGTCGTAAGTCCATCACAGGGCTATTTAAGCCATAATCATCAAAATTACACGAAATGAAGGCTTGAGATATTTCATTCTTTGTGTAATGAATCTATGTAACACTTGAGTTTCACTTTCTGACATGATTGACAGAAAAACTGGACTTTTTCATGACATTCTAATTTTTTAGATGCACCTGTAGCTGAATAAACGAACAAATAAACGATAAAGGACAGGTTTCTCACTCTAAAGGACATTTCCAAATTCTCTCCTCCCCAGAACTCCATGTGCTCATCATAAGCTCCGATGTGCTCAAAGTATGATTTAGAGACGGAGAACAGACCCCCGGCAAAGACTGGAGTTCTGCAAGATGGATTCAAATTTAACACATGCAGTGGCCTTACCATATTTAAATGAATATAGAGTATCTCAGTTTTAGCTTTTTTTTTTTTGAGTACAGATTGAAAAAAAAAAACTATCTGAGCTCAAAGCAAAGATTGAAGCTTCCTTTGAAATAAGAAGTGAACTGTACCTAATCCTTATGTTTATTTGTATTTGGATCAGACCTGATAGGACACGTGTCACTCTTTCTTTGCTTCATTTCTTCTTCTGGAACAGCTTCCCAACCAAATTTGAGCCTCCAGTCAAATTTTCCTCTGTTGTGACGTTGAGGTTTAGTCGCCGGCTTGTGAAAACTCAAGTCATCACGGTTGATGGAAGTGATTTGTGGGCTCACCACAGCTGTAGGCTGCTCTGCGATTCGAGCCAGGAGAGGCTCCAGCCACCCAGGGGTGCACTCGCCTTCATGTGAACATAAAAATAAAGATTTTAAAACCACTTTTTTACAATTGAGTTGTCTTAATTTAAACTGCTCAGAAGCATTCAGAACAACCGTGCGTGTCCTGCATGTGCTGCACAACTTCAACGTGGCGCCGTACGTACAGTGGGAGTCGAGGAAGGTGAGGACCTCCCCTCGAGCAGCCCGCGCCCCCATCAGCCTGGCTGTGATCAGGCCTTTTCTCTCCCGCTGACGTAAAACGTGCACTATCTGCAGCTGTTGCACATATTCATCGAGAGGAGCCTGCAGCTGAGCTGAAGATGGTGGACAGAAAACACAAAGTTACGTCAAGGCGTGTTTCACGTGTGAAAAATGTGTTTTTTCCACATCTGCAGCAGCCATTATCATCTGTCAGTGTTAAATGGTTGAACATTGAAACAGATGGTGGTTTTTTAAAGAAACTTTACTTTCTGCTTTCTTTTAAAGCTCCTGTCTCCATCTTCACTGCATGCTGAATGAGGTAAAAATAATACCGGACTGATATATTTTAAAGTTTTTCTTTTCTTGTTGGGTGAAGGAGTAGTGGGTACAGATTTTATATGGTGCTACTGGAGCCACAAACCAGTGAAAAGAAATGGTTTCAGTCATTTTCCAGCTATGTCCATCAGCACCGGATTTACTTTCATGATTAGACTGTCTGACTTGGCATTTGTCAGTTTTCATCTCCAGCAGCAGGACGATCCTGTTTCATGAAGACCCACAGAACTCATGGCAGATTTTTAAATTCTTATTTATAGAGGATAACAAGAACCTGTCAAATAAATTGTTTAACCTTGAAGAGCATCTATAAAGTGTAACAGTGCTCTGCAGGATTTTAAAACTATTCAATTCAGTTTATTTATTTAGCACCAAGTCAAAACAGAAGTCATCTCAGGGCACAGAACAGAAACATTCATATATAAAAATACAAAGTAATTTAACATAATTTATCTGAGGAGCAGAATTTAACTCCATCACAGACTCTCATCTTGAGCAAGCATGAAGGCGATAGTGGAAAGGAAAAACTCCCTAATGAGGAAGAAACGTTTAGCAGAACCAGGCTCAGGACAAGTGGACATCTGCTTCAACCAGCTGGATTGAGAGGAACAGATACACAATGGCAGGTCAAGAATCACGTTAAGATAAAAATAGTATCAAATGAAAACTATTCAATTTTAATATTTCATTTAAGACGTCTTGGTGGTGAAGAGGAGAGGTTTAAATAAGGCTGAGGGACAGTGAGAGATGAGTGCACTGGGATGATACTGGTTAGAAACTGGGGTGACTGATTAGAGGCTAGAGAGGCTGAGGAGTGGGTGGAGAATGGCAGGGAACAGAGAGACAGCACAAGGAGCAGCAAATGAAATGACAACACAGGAGCACAATACATTTGGAACAATGGGAATATTCTGTTTAAGAATAAGTCACTTTACTATAAAAACTGGATGGATAATGGAATTATTCTTGTCCAACAGCTGATAAATGATAACGGAACCATTTTGTCATACACCGAATTGCTGAGCAGATTTAACACACCTGTAACACCTAAAGAGCATGCTGTTGTTTCTGATGCTCTACCAAACTCCATGATGCAAAACTCTTCAAAGGAACAAAACCCGATCGTTCATCTAGAGAACAACTTAGAAGCCCCATAATGCAAAAACATGCTCCAACAAACTTATAAGATCATGTCTGCAGAAGAATACTTTACCTCCTGGTAGATTTTTGTTGGTCCTCTACTTTTGGAGAAATTAAATGGAAACAAGTTTGGTTGAATGGAGAAAAATTTTACATAACAAATAAAAGTTAAAGAGGTTTCATATAAAATCAATCATAATGTACACCCTGTTAAAAAAAACCTGGAAAGATTTAAACTTGATATTGACTACTCTTGTACATTTTGTGAACTACACGTGGAAACAATCTCTCATTTATTCTATCAATGTAATCACACAAAGACGTTCTGGACAGATGTACAACAACTCATACGACAGAAAACTGGACAAGTAATTGAACTTACAGACAAAGACATTATATTATGCTTCAACGATAAGGATATGGACAAAGACTTGATCTACTTCACCCAACTTCTACTTCTCCTGGGAAAATTCCACATTCACAAGAAAAAGTGGTCAAACTCCAAGTCAAGCATAACCCACTTCAGCAAGGAACTTTACAAATACAGCACCACTATTAAAGGACTGGAAAACAAAAAGGCAAAAAAAACCAACTCAGTTCTAGAAAAACTTAATGTGAATTTATATTTATAACCTGTAAATAGATTGGTTTGTATCTTTAGACTTTTTACCTTTTAAACCACTGTATAATTATATTGTTCTTTTCTATACTTGTATACTATTACTTTTGTACCTGCTAATATACCCCTGACAAACACTTGTTTGTAAATTTGATAAAGTTTTGTAATAAAAAATAATAAAACAACACAGGAGCACAAAGAAAGCAGACAGAAGGACAGATGATGTCATTCTTGCTCTAGGTTTCCCTTATGGCCAGTTCCACTTCACTTCAAACTCTGGTCCTCTACCTGAGGCCTGGGAGTTTGAGGGTTCTGTTCAGCATCTTAGCTGTTCCTAGGACTGTGTCCTTCTGGACAGAGATCTCTGAGGTTGATCCTGGGATCTGTTGGAGCCACTCTTCCAGTTTGAGGGTCACAGCTCTGAGTGCTCCAATGACCACTGAACTACTGATGCTTTGACTCTCCACAACTTCTTTATTTCCTCTTTCAGATCTTGGTATTTCTCGAGGTTCTCGTGCTCCATCTTCCTGATGTCACAGTCACTTGGACTGCTACATCTATCACCACTGCCTTCTTCTCTTGCTTGTCAACCACCACAATATCCAGTTGGTTATCCATCACTGTTTGTCGGTCTGGATCTGGGAGTCCCACAGTATCTGAGCCCTGACATTCTCCACCACTCTTGAAAAACGTTGTAATCCTTGTGATCTTCGGTGAAGTCCTTGTCGCGGCATCTTCCTTACATTAATCACTTGATTATATTTTTTGTGAATTTTAAAGGGAATTTGAGCCAATTATACTTTGATTTATATAATTACACTTGAATTTCCCATCCGTGGGACAATAAAGGCTGTTTCTATTCTATTCTATTCTATTCTATTCAATTCTAATTAGGTAGCAAATAATATCAAGTTTATGACAACTGGACTGGCTACAAAACCATGTGTCCATTTTAGCAAGAAGATTTTTTAATCAATAACAAATAATCAGTATTGTTGGTAAACATAAAGAGTGTTTCCAAATAAAGAGGTCCTTGTGTGTGGGTGTGCACCAATATGGCAGCATGATGGTTCAGTAGCACTGTTGCCTCACAACAAGAAGGTCTTGGGTTCAGTCCCCGGTTTGGACCTGGGGTCTTTCTGTGTGGAGTTTGCATGTTCTTCTCATGTTTGCATGGGTTTTCTCCCACAGTCCAAAAACATGCACGTCAAGCTGCCCTCAGTCAACACATCACATGCAAAAGAGATCTTTGATCTCAGTGGGATTTACCTGCTTAAATAAAGGTTAATAAATAAATAAAATAATACATGTGTTTAGTGCGCACCCATTAGTGCACATAGTGCACAGTGGGACAGTCAAGTGCTGAAGTCATCTGTCATAAATAAAGTTTTATATTTTTATGATACATAATCTGGGTTTTATCTTTGAGATTGTTTTTTTCCTTTGGACTTCATTATGAGTTTGATGAGGCCGACATTTTTGTTTAGCTGCTATAAGGCTACAGTACATATCCTTGCTCGTTTGCAGGTAATCCATTTATTCTTTACGTTTCATCTGTGTCCATTTAAAGGCAATACATATTTCCACAACGCTTGCATCTATTGACAGCATCTAGTTTATTTTGTATTCGGCTGTCAAAAACTGTTTCCCCCTTCCGGGTGAAACATCTGAACTCGCAAAGAAAGGTTCCTACTATATAGACAGCTGATTACCCACGTGACCTAATACCCATTCACAAATATATTCATTTATCAACTGCTCCTACAAACGTATTAGTAAATGACTATTCAGCTGTTTTTATCTTGTGTTTAGCCACAAATTATTATATTATAAATATGTTTGAATTATTCTTTTGGTAAAAAGGGGCAGATAAAAGATTTTTTTCTTCTTCCTGCTGCCTTTCATTTTATTTGTGATTGTATTTCTTATTGTATATAGAATTGTTTTGTTTTGTTAAAAAAAAATGAACAAAGTTATAAATAAATTATATAAGTTACATTTTGAATGCTTTTTTTCTTTGGACTTTTACTTGTAGAAAATATACAAAATTTGTTTTGCACCTGCAAGTTTTTGCACGTGTGTGTGAACGCAGTAATACACAGATTTGCATGCAGCACACACTCACCATCCGTGCTGGCATCATCCACCAGTAAGACCTCAGTGAGCAGAGCAGCAGGAGCTGTGTGTAGGACGCTGTAAACAGTCCTGAGCAGAGCCGACCAGGCCTCGTTGTGAAACACTATAATCACGCTGGTGGTCGGGAGACGGGGACATCGCAGAAACTTCTGCTCCAAGCATCTGTCAGAGCCAACGAAAAGTTACCAGGCACCGGCTTTGTAACTACATGCTCACCTTTCCCCGTATGCGGGCATCAGCAACTGATCTGCTCAGATAATAACAAATAGCAGCTGTGGGAACACTTACTCTGGAGGGCGTGTGTCCTCTCCCAGGTCACGGTGCAGAGAGATGCGATCGCTTGCAAACTGGTTGAACTGGTTTTTATTAAACCCCTGTAATTCCTCCTGGAGTTCTTCAGGAGTCTTCACGTGGAACTCAAAGGGTCTGCCATGTGCACCCGGTGCCCAGGGATCTTGGGGAGGCCTCTGAAGGCGAGGCTTGAGCTCCTCTTTACTGTAAAATCCAGAAAGGCAGCTGGGATCCTTGACTGCCAGGCCAAGGATGGAGCCCTCACAGGGGGCTGACGCTTGTTTCTTGGCGGTGTAGCTGAAGTAGCAGTGTGTGATGAAAAACAAACACAGAAGACTGGAAGCTGCTATCTTTACTGAGCGCGAGAGTCGAAAACATGAACGCATTATATCCTCAGGAGCGCTCCGATGTAGACAAAGCTGAAAATGAAGCACAAAGAATACGTTATTACACACACTTGAATGTAATTCTTACTGAAATATATTCTCTTTATGCTGCGTACATTTAAAACATTAACGTAAACACCTATGCCATGTGAATTTATACACTAAAGCTTTAATCAAATTGGATCAAGACAATGGATTAATATTTGGATTCAGCCTGATTCAAGATGGCTGCCACGGCCAACTGACCTTAAAAAAAAAAAACATGCAAAATGTCTATACAGTCAGATTTACAGAGATTAACCAAAACTTTGGTTTGGTAGTAGCTGAGACTGATTCCCAGCACGTTTTCAGAGAACACAACAAATTTGGTGTAAGTCATCTTGGTCTGTTAGCAAAATATCTCTTGAACCACTAGACATATTTTAATGAAACTTTCAGGAAGTAATCATTGGGTGCACATCTAGATGTGTTTCACATTTGGAGTCAATCCAAATGAAGCTGTCCACCACAGCCAGCTGATCTTATAAAACATGAAAATGTCTATAACATAGTCAGTTTTACTGATACTGAGCTACAATTAGATGCTGTCGGAGCCAAGACTCCTTCACAACGTTGTCTATTGTAGCAATGTTACGACTTTGTGCATAACTATTTTCAAGGTTTGATAAAAACGGATACAACTCCTTAATTTTTCAACATAAGATGATCTTGATGGCATGAAAGGTGATGGGTGACATGCAATCCTTCAAGGAACGCTCAGTCTTGATTCTCAAAAGTGTTTCAGATGTAGAACATTAGACACAAAACGTAATTCTTTTTACCAGCTCAGTGATATTACACCAGTAAAACTCTAACAAACACACAACTAAACCCAACAAACCTGATATAACTGTATGAGCATGGCAACAAAAGACTCCTCAAATGAGACAGTACTCACTCTGTTCTGCTGCAGAAAACATGAAGTTCATCTGTTTTCTGCTTCTTCTTCTTATGCCAGCAAGTTCTTAGACAGACAAAACCAGCTCAGGTGCTCAGCATAGCTGGTGTGCATCCACTGGAATAAAGAAAAAAGGAAAAGTAGAGACTCCTCAGACCGGTTCAGACCATCTGACTCAGTGTCGAGCTGTGGTTAGCCAGCCAGGCCACATGGTTTTGTTGATTCCTGGTTTCACTTCAGTTCCGGTTATTCTACTCTCATTTTACTGCTAGTTTGCACATCTTCTCTGTGCACATACTTTTGTTGCGCATGCTCTTCATAAACACTTGGGAGAAGCTGTAGCCTAAAGTCTTACGTACAGTTCAGCTACTCAACCATCTGAGGCTCCTGAAGTCAAATAATGCGATGTGTGGTGACTTTTTAAATATATTTTTAAAGTTAAAGTTTGTCAGAACAAAGTACTCATGAGACCCAGAGAAGGCACATGTGGTTTTGTATCTTGCTTACTCAGTTTTTTTTTTTTCTTCTTCTTTGCGAGGTAGACTGGGTTTTAGATGATGTTTCATATTTAGAAACACTTCGAAAAATAGTCTGACTATTGGGATTATAGTCAGTTCCTTTAAGCCTGAGACCACGGTTCTCAAACACACAGAGGTGGAACATTTCCTCCAGATCAGGGTGAGTCTATGCTTTAAATGGAGGAATTCAAATAAGTGGGAGTTTGGTTCCAAAATGACGGTAAGATGTAAAGATCTTGAAGACTGGTTTACTTCAAAGAGGCATTCATTTTGAATGGTAGTGGCATCATCACGTAGGGATAGACGTAGTGAGGCAGGCTGTACTTAGTGACGTACAATGTCAGGGCTGTACCATGTCTCTTGTCAGGTTAGACCCAACCCCCACTCACACCCCCGGACATTGTAAAGAGCTGTTCAAAAGATTTGTATTTTTTACAATACAATCAGTGAATAAGAGTATTGTTTGTAAATGCCACATCTCAGTAAAGATTTGCAATAATTGGCACATTTACATAATAGTCTGGTCATCCACATTTATGGAACAGGATTTCGAAGTAGCTGAAATGAGCTCCCTCCATAAGGTGGAGCCTTGGAGATGGAGTGAGGAGATCCGTCATCCGAGGGGAGCGCAGAGTGGAGGCCACTGCTCCTCTGCATCCAAACAAGTCAATTAAGGTGGTTTGGACATCTGATTGGGATATGCCTCCGGGACACCTGCCTTTGGTGGTTTTCTGCTCAGGTCCCACGGGGCAGACCCAGAACTTGCTGGAGGGAGTATGTCCTGTCTGGCCTGGGAACACCTCAGGATCCCAAGGACGAGCTGGAGAAGGTGGAAAGAAATGTGGTTTCCCTCCTGAACCTTGACCTAACCACAAAAAAGCAAAAGAAAATGGATTAAAAGCATCTACATTAGAGTAGTAAACTCTCAAAACTGTATAAAGTCTAAAACTCTGTGATATAACACTAGAAAAAATACATTTTATGCAAAAATGTAGTGAATGCTAAATGACTGCTGACATTTACTGACACTGAAACTAAGTTAAAGCTAAACTAAGCAAAACATAAGCTGAATGAATCAAAATACTGAACCTTAAAAGTAAACAAAAAGCTATAGCTAACATTTAAAATTAAGCAAAACACAGGCAAAACTAAAGAGAGAGAGAGAGAGAACGATAGCTAAAAAACAAAAAGAAGTAAACCTAAAAGTAAATGTAGGAAAGGCTCACTCAAAGCTAAAAGTAGCAAAACGCTATCAACGCTAAAAGTAGCAAAAGTTAGCTAAAAGTAGCAAAACGCTATCTAGAAGCTAAAAGTAGCAAAAGTTAGCTAAAAGTAGCAAAACGCTATCTAGAAGCTAAAAGCAGCAAAAGGTCAGCTCATGTACAAAAATCTAGCTTTTTAAAGGCAGAGAAGCTAAAAGTAGTAAAACTTTAGCTAAAGTAGCAAAAGGGTAGCTAAGCTAAAAATAACAAAATTATTATTAAAAGTTAGCAAAAGGCTAGCTAAAAATCACCAAAAGGCTAGCTGAACATGACAACAGGTTAACAAGCTTAAAGTAGCTAAATGCTAGCTAAAAGTTGAAAGTAGCAGAATGATAGCTAAAAACCCAAATTAACATAGTAAGACCAAAACAGAGCAAGTGATGAAGCAGATTTCAAAGAGAACAATGGTTTTTAAAGTAATTGCAGACATCTCAGTATATCTGTGGGGAGGAAATGTACTTTAAAATGTACAAAACCTAAACACAGCCATCTTCTGAATGAAGGGAAGTTTGAGATTGTCATCATTGTATGTTCCCAGACAATGATGAAAATGGTTCTCTGCGTTTAACCCATCACACATGAGATATACCCAGGTGGAGCAGTGGGCAGCATGGAAGCACCCGGGCAGCAGTTAGGGTCTCGCTCAGAGACACCACAACATGTGGGAAGGGCTGGGAGTCAAACCACGACTTTCTGGTCCCAAGTCAGCTGCCTTGCCGCCCTGCCTCACCCCATCTCGGCCCCCACAAAAGACGTGTAAAATATGTTTATTTTTTAGGTTCTGAATCCTCCACAACATTCTCCTGCTAGTCATTAACTTTGCCAAACTGTCATTTGTTGCTAAGCTGTATACAATATTACTTGTTTATTTATTTCCGCCCTATCTGTGACTGCCTTGTACATAACTCAGTAGTTACAATTTTAACTGCTCTGCCATGATTTATTATTTCTATCAGCCCACAAAATAATATTTGGCATGAAAAGAAGCTGCCGGTGGATGTGGTGATTATTTAGAGCTGCCTGTGCCAGTCGGCTCTTTTCCTTAAATATCTTGAGCAGGTACAGTCAGTGAAACCGGCTAGTCAGAGCTACAAGAAGGGCACGGTGTGTACTATGACCTCACCACAATCAGCCTTATCAGTTCTATACCTAATGTACATTTTAGGTCAAGCAAATTGGCTGAGAAATGGAAGTTGAAGCACTTCTCCAGGGCACTGTGACGCCTGAATTAAAGATTAATAATGTTCATAAACTGTAACAGAGCGGGAGGATTTCACTACAGCTGAACAGAACAGAAGGTTCAGTACAGCCGCTGGCTCGTCCTTAATAAATTACTGTACCCACTTTAGTTTGTGCTTGTGTTACATGTGGAAATAGCTAGAAGCTGGGTTACTTTCACTTCTTTCTGCCCACACACATTGCAGATGCTCATATAAAACCTTTACAATTGCCAATTACCTGAAAGGAAGCAAATTGTTTTCAACGCCACACTGTTTTGAAACTGATATCATCATACAACTATAGTACAGATACTTTAGGGCTAATCTGACAAGAGAAGCTCCATGTTTCCATCTGCATTGCAGAGACCTGCTGTAACCAGAGACAGACCAGGGGAGGTGTGTTCACAGGAAGTAAACAACTACACCAAAGCATAGGTGTCTTTACTCCACTTTTAACTTCTACAGTGTGTGTTTTACTGGGATATATACATACATAACATCAGTGGTGAAGAAAGTACTCAAACACTGTACTTAAGTAAAAGTCCAAATAAACAGACAAAAATGTACTCTAGTAAAAGTAAAAGCACCACGTTAACATTTTTACTTAAGTAAAAGTAAATAAGTACTTGCTTATAAAATACTTAAAGTATTAAAAGTAAAAGTACTTGCTGAATGTATTACCTAATGCAATGGTCTACATATCTTTAAGTGTACCTACCATATGTATATTTTTTGTAATACATTAATGGTGTTGTTTTAATGAACAATGCTGCAGATAATACATGTTTTTATTGTGTTCACTCTGTGACACAGTTCACACTTGGACTTGTGATTCTGTGCGTCAGAATTTCAGGGATGACCTGCAGAGTTAAATACCATTAATCAAAATAAGAAAGAGGAATGATTATACCTTTGAAAGTTTTTATTTAACACAAAGTAAAACCAATGTGTCATTTTAACTGCAGTAAACACATTTAATTAAAAGTTGTCTGCCTGAACAAAAGGAGCATTAGACCTGACAAAGGAATATCTGATCATTTCCACTGATGTTTCAACTCCAGTTAAAATACTGTCTATTCAACCTTGTAATGGGTCAATATTGAACAATATTTTAACTTCCTGACACCATTTTTAAAACTTGGACCCGAGTGTCGAGACATTTGGAGACATCTCTTGTCTCCTAACATCATGAACTGACACATTTTAATATTGCAGCAAGAATTTCTTGTTCAAGTTCAGAAGAAGTTGGTTTTCAAAGATTTTTGAGTTCAGTCTGGCTCTTTTGTGAGAGAGAAGCTGTCCTGTTGTACTGAACAGTCTTTCAATAAGGACATGGGTGGAGCATATCTTCTGGCTGACTCTCTTGCAGTGGAATACATTTTGGGTGTAGTGGTGCTGCAGGTGCACCCAGCTCAGTAACATATATACTAGAATATATGTCATTGGTCCAGCTCTTCTTGAAGGCGGGGCCTAATGTTACCTGCCCACTTTGCAGTGATTCAATGGACCAACTCCCCTCTCACCATTGGTTACTTTCAAACTAACAAACAAATCAAAAAGCTGCAACATGAATGTAACTTGTAATGCAACACATTATAGAAATGTAGTGTAGTAGAAAGTACAGATACTTGATGTAAAATGCAGTGGAGTAAAAGTATAAAGTACCCGCATTTAACTCTACTTAAGTAAAGTACAGATACATGAAAAATGTACTTAAGTACAGTAACAAAGTATTTGTACTTAGTTACATTCCACCACTGCATAACATATAATGTTATTATGCCATTCTGAATGCATATTGTTCCCTTTAAAAAACAGTTGAACTGATTGGGGAAAAAACGGCCTTTGAAAAAAAGGATCATGAGAAATGCTTTGACCTATTTTTGTTGAGATGAAGCTTTTAGCTCATTGTAAATACTGGTATTGTCAGCTACCACCAGCTAAAAGTTCAAAAGTGTTGTATAAATATGTTTATTATGCACACAGACACACAAGGACTGTTGTAGATCTTATCATTATGTGGTAGGTATGTTTTAAACAACTGTTTGTTTATAGCACATTTTGCTAAAGGTAATTAAAAGTAATTTAAATGCAACTAGAGCAGCTTTACTCTAGACATTTTAAAGTCAGGTACTATGGAAACTACATCGAGATAGCTTTTTGTACAATTTCAGTTTAAAGAAAGTTTCACTCCACCAGGAATGATGAGCTAATGACTAGTCTGAACAAAGACCAAAGTGTAATGTTGCCATCGTAAAACAGCTTCAGTCTAAACACAAAAAGAATCACAGCAATTCAAACAAATATTATTTTACACACTTTTACACCACTGTCAATTTGGCAAAACAACTGTTTGCATTGAATTCTGATGTTATTTTCAAATGCAAACAGCAGCAGCAGCAGCAAGCTGTAGCACTTCAATTCAATTCAGTTTATTTATATAGGGCCAGGCCATAAATAGAAGTCCTCTCATCTTCCTGGGCACTTCTAGCAGAAACTTCATATTTATCCAGGAATTATCCCGTAATGCAAAATTGACAGTTCACAAACTCAGACTGTGTTTTAAAACTGTGTTTATAAGACCGACAGGTGACTTTAGGATACCGTACCACACACCCGGATCTGTGGAGATAAAATGTCTGCTCTGTGATCCTCCAAAACCTTTAAATAAATCAGAAGGAGAAGAAACTATTTACCAGAAGAGCTGTCTAATATGACGCAATGGCGTGGCTCTGAGTTGGCTCTCAGGCTGGGGAAAACTAAACTGGTTAGAGGAAAGTTAAAAAACAGTTCTAGCACCAGCACCATATTAGTTAAAAATATATAATGTTCCAAATTGAGACTCCAGGACCTATCTATATTTGTTTAGATATTCTTCACCATGTAAACATAAACCCCCCACTTTAAAAGGCCAAAATATTTCTTCAGTTTCCAAAAAATGTGTAATATACATGTAAAATAACACCCTCCTCCTTAATGTCTCTGAGCACGTACTTTATTTCAACCAATAAATTCACTTTATTTGGTAATCTATTTATCAAAAGCTTATGACTCCAAGTGATATATTTGAATAATTGTTTCAAATATCTATCCTGTAAACTTTTATTTTCATGGGCAATATTCCCCAAAACTGATCAGCAATCAAAGCACCTCCATTTATAAAGGTATGATAAACTGTTTCTGCAGTGCAGCTACAGACCTTGATTTAATTTCTATTTCTCCTGAAATAATAATTCATCATGAGTTTAAAGCTGCAACAAGGTGCTATTTGTCCTCTGATAAAATCTGATGTATTGACAGAGAGCATCTCACCTGCTGACTTGGGCAACATGTTGGTCGTGTGCTCTGGACTGTTGTCTGTGGGCTGAACATTAAACATATGAATGTCTAAAATAACATACACTATGCTACAATAGTTGTACTGCAAAAACATAAAAACAAAAAATTGAAAACAATGGTGAAAACGGGGAAGTATTTTTAAACCTTGTAAAATGGGTTCATTGTTCATTGATATTGTTTAGAAGGGGCAGAAATGATAAGAATTTGTTCTTCTTCTGCTGCCTTTCATTTTATATGGATCTTATTTTATTTGTATGGAATAAGTCTTGTTTTAACTGAAATGAAATGAATGAATGAATAAATAAATAAATTGTCTTCAGTTCTCCGTTTGATCTTTAATGATTAATAAAACTGACCTAACCTAACTAAATAAATATGAGCTGCACAACAAATGAAACAACACAAACCAGTTTACGTTTAAGAAGTGAAATGCAGAGCTAACTGCATGTTTCCCAGAGCAAAAAGGGTAAAAATTTGAATTGAAAACAAGCACCGCCCCTTTCTCCTCCTCACCAAATGAGGGTGGAGTTTGTTACCACGGTAACAAGAAAGCGCAATGCAGTTACGTATTTGTATACTGGTTCATTCGTCACTTAGTTAGGGGCATTTATCAAGTCGATAAACAAACTGTGACACTCTAATGACTTTCTTCGGCCTAACACACCTGGGTTATCAAAACCCAATAGGCGATAAAATGTTAATAAAACCGAAGGGAGCGTTGTCTCAAGGTAAGAGCTAACATTAGCTTAGCCACAGCGCACTAAGTAGCTCATTTATTAGGTTGGCTATAAACTATAGTTTAGAAAAACTTATCAATATCTAGAGAAGTTCAAATCTACTTACTGGTAAATGTTAAGCTATTAAAAAAAAGAGTCTGCTATCAACTAATCTAATTTTTTTTAATTATTTGTCAGATATTTTCAAAATCAATCAGCTAATTAGATCATAGCTCAACTGCTACACGTCAGGCTGAAAGGAAAGTGCTTGTCCTGAGTTAGATGTGTCTCTTTTTCTATCAAAGGTGTAAAGCTTCAAGTGCTTTTGATATTTCGTGTTTGCTCACAGATGGCAGTGATAACTTCAGTGGCAGCTCGCCGCCATCACTTCAGCAACTACAGGGACCTGCAGACATGTCCAAAGTTTACCCCCAGTCCTCTCCTTTCAGCTCTTACCTTCACCACGGGAGCCACAAGAAATACAAAGAAATGGTCAAACGGGCTCAAGCAATTAAACGTGAGCCTTAATTATAATTTACAATACACAGTGTATATTTGATCTGCTGTGTTATTAAAAACATGTGGACTTTAAGTAGCACATTGGAACAAAATAAGAAAGCAAAGCCTCTTCTCTCCTTCAGCTCCTAACCAGCTGTACGTCACACCTCTGACGGACAACCAGCAGTATGGATGGATGGTGTCTGGGAGTCCTGAACCATGGACACAAGTCAGACGGTTTCCCCGAAAGTTCAGCGAGATGACCAAGTAGGTTGCCTTTTTGAATTTAACTATCACCTGGTCTTTTGTGGGTGCGTTCAATCAACTTATTGGATTTACAGGTTTGTTAATGAACTGTCAAAGACGGATTGAGAGTTCAGCCTGTTCTGAGTGCTCCCATCTCTTTCTCTTCAGGAAGGGATGAAAAACAGCATCAGTATTATTGTTTGGAAGTAAACCAAGGTATTCTTTACTAGACCAACATTCTCGTTTTTAATTTGACTAATGTTCGGCATTTTAAATAAGTTCCAGGCAACACAAAAATGCACTGATTATTTATGAGAACAACAAAACAAAAAAAAGCAGTATGGATCTTTCCCCACCTGGCCTGCACATTCAAAGACAACGACTTTCTACAGCCATCTAGAGGCACACTGGACTAATAACATCAGGATTTTTCTATTTACTTCCTTTACCTGAATCACAGAGAACATCTGGAGATTCTGAGTAGTTTAGAAGCTTGTCAATGTTTGCTGATTGTATTGTAGTTATTTAAAAAGAACGACGAAAGCTCGAAGACATCCTCAGTTGCCAGGGACATTTCAACACTTTCTGCAAAAGTAACGCATGCATTGAATTGCTTACCTGGGGTACATTCAATCTTTTAAAAAAAATTATGTTGTTTACATTAGTAATGTAAGTAGTTTCTCCAGGTACTCCAGTTTCCTCCCACAGACCAAAAACATGCATGTTAGACTGATTGGTAACTCTAAATTGTCTCTAGGTGTGAGTGAGAGAGTGAATGAGAGTGAGTGTTTCTTTAGTCCTAGAACTGCGCCGCTCAAGGTGGCTGCATGTTGGAGCAGCTCTGTTACTTTCATTCTGAGATTTTGCTTTTGGAAACTTTAATTCCTCTTTTTCTGGATGTAAATCACATTTTTTGGATGATTGTTTCCTCTGGTGTCAGATGCTGTGCAGCTGGAAGAATTTTTACTGAAACTTTTATAGTTTTGGACATTTGTTATGATGCGTAACCATGGCAACAAGGCAGTTTCTACAACCAACAGCAGCTGATTAACATCTCAAAAGCTCAAATAATATCTCAACTACAGCCCCATATCTCAGACGAGTTGAAAAGGATGTACTGTGGATGCATTCTCATCTACCTGCCAGCTGTGCTCGAGTACCTGACCACTGAGATCCTGGAACTAGCAGGAAACACGGCTCATGACAGCGGAAGGACGGGATCGTCCCTCGGCACCCACAGTTGTCTGTCCGCAGCGACAAGGAGCTTGGCAGACTGCTGGGAGGAGTGGCCATCGCTCTGAGAGGAGTTCTGCCTGGCATTCGGGCGGTCCTACAGCCCGGGGGAACCGAGAGGCCAGCCGAGTCTGGGTGGACGGATCGGACGGCATCTGCAACCAGTTTCTTAGGATCCACTGTGGGGTGGACCTTTACAAGAGATCCTTCCTGCCTACAGCCATCAGCATCTATAACGTCTCTTAATGAAATGAGGATAACGAGTTACAACAACAAATAATTTCCCTCTGAGATTAATAAAGTATTTTTGAATTGAATTGAATTGAATTGAATGGTTGTTTGTCTTGTTTGTCTCTGTGTCCCTGTGATGGACTGGAGACCTGTCCAGAGTGTCCCCTGCCTTTCATAAAGTGACTAAGTGACTGCTGGATATGGACACCAGTGATCCCCGTGACCTGAAAAAGGAGAAGCAGGTAAAGATGATGGGTGGATGGATGTTCGACACAAAGGTGTTTAGAAACCAGAGTGAAGTTGCACCCCCCCCCCCCCCCCCACACACACACACACACACACACACCTTCTTCAATCTAACGAAATTTGTGTCAAACGTTTGTTCTATGTTTGTGCAGCAAAATTTTTATTTTGTGCCACTATCATTTTAAAGATATTATGTTAAATGTTTTCAGAGGTCATGAAAGGTCAACCCCCCCCCCCCCCCCACACACACACACACACACACACTTTCTTCAAATCAGACAAAATTGGTGTCAAATCAACTCGGCTACATTTGTGCAGCAAATATTTCCATTTGTGCTGCTTTTACTTTGAAGATATTAATGAAAGTTTAAAGGTCAACCAGCCCCTCCCCCCCACACACACACACACATACACACACACACACACATTACTCAAATCTAACAAAATTGGGGTCTAATGTTTGTGCAGTAAGAATTTTCATTTGTGCTGCTATAATTTCAAAGATATTAATAAAAAAAAGTTTCCAGAGGTCATCAAAGGTCAACAAAAATCTGTTCATGTTGGAACTGTTGGGGTTAGGAACTGACCTTTAAACTTTCGTTAATATCTTCAAAGTAAAAGCAGCACAAACGGAAATATTTGCTGCACAAACGTAGCCGAGTTGATCGACACCAATTTTGTCTGATTTGAAGAAAGTGGGGGGGGGGGGCTGGTTGACCTTTCATGACCTCTGGAAACACTTATTAATATCTTTAAAATTATAGCGGCACACACACACACAAAAAATTTCTGCACAAACATTTAACACCAATTTATTTAGATGTGAAGAAGGTCGGGGGCAACTTCACTCAGGTTGTTTAGAAGGTGATTTTTGTCTGAATTTTACTCCTTCAAAATCTTCAGACAACCTAAAAGCGAAATGTTGAGACGTCTACAAAACAGCTTATTGTAGTCATTTCCATTTCATGTTCTGAAGATGTCCTGCAGTCGATGTTGATGTACAGACGTAATCTCATTGGAACAAGCATCGCATGCATCATTACTGTGTGTGTGTGCAGGTTGATTCTGAAACGCTGAGTGAGATTTAGGTGGATTAGAATAAAAAGGAATAGATGTGCAAACCAGCAGCAGCAGCTCATGCTGGTAGAGACATTGTCCCCAAATAAATACTCTTTTTGTTGATTTATTGTATGTCCAACTATCTCCCTTTCTTTTTTTTATTTAGAAAAAACGTATTCTCTTGGATTTTTGTCACTTGATCAGATATGTTTTATATTTCTTGGACGAGTTGTGTTGAAATTAACTCCACTGTTGTTGTTTTTTTAAAACCACTAACACTCTCCAGTTTGTTGCACGAGCTCTTTTGCGTCTTATCGCCACAAAATGAAACTCTCCGGCAGCAGTGCTTTGCTGAGGAAGTCTGCAATTTCCTCCCTGACTGTTGATGAAACTTACTTTATCCTGTTTTTGTTTGCTTTTTTAAAGATTTTCTCCATGTGAAGTCTGGCATCATTCTTTTATGTTTCGTAATTCCACCGATATGAGAGCAGATTCCTCCGTTTTCTAACTTGTGCACCACTGACTGCAGGTGTTTGTTTTTGCACCTGTCTGTTAGCAAAATAACTCACGAAGCTTTGGACTGATTTTTGAAGAAACTCTCAGAAAATAATCTAGCTAATGGTTGATGTGATAGTAGCCGAGAGTCATCCGGAATAGCACAAATATTATTTACAAGGTTTAGTCAAAATGTCCAGAACTCCATCCTTTCCCGTTGTAAAATATTATTCATAACTCTGGCACGAAACTCAGTAAAACAAGCAATTATTGTTAAACTTGGTAAAGTGGCCATTTTAATATTTTTAATTGTTCCTGAGAAAATGAGCATTGTAATTTATAAATTGTAGAGCAACACTAATTTTAAACAACTTTGTTATTAAGGATCATTTTTGTTATTACCGTATTTTCCGGCATATAAGTTGCAGCTTTTTTGCATAGATTTCAGTCCTGACTTGTACGCTGAAGCAACTTATTTACGTTTTTTTTTCCATATTCATAATGCAGTTTTTGACTGACGCTTTAAATTTCTAAGAACTGCAAGAGTCCTCCCGTGTGCGCTCGCTTCACTCAGCTGGTGCAGGCGGAGTAACGCTGGAGAGCTAGTGGTTCCGGCCATGGATGGATGGCGTCGTGCCACCCAGGTGAAATAAAGCTGTTTTGACCATTAAATAAACTCATAATAAACGCAACGGGTCAGCAGTGACATATAATAAATGTGACTTATACGCTGAAGCGACATGTTTTTTCCTCTTCATGATGATTGTTTTGACTGATGCGACTTATACGCCAGAAAATACGGTATATATTTTCGGTATATTGTAAATATGACCACACAAAAGGGCTTATATTTTTCAGTTTTATTCTTTTTCTTCAAGGGGAAATGTTATTTTTCTCTTTGTCATAGTCCTCAACTCCTCCGTTCAGCAACACACTCCCTGTTCAACTCCTCCAACTCAGGGAAAACACAAACAAAAAAAAACAAAAAGAAACAAATACGGAAGGATTCATCAGGCCTGAGCAAAACACTGTTTCAGTAGTATGAGAACGACATTTCTCCCCGCTCCTGTCCCCCGTCTCCCACCTAAAAAAAAAAAAAAAAACCTCATTCCAAGAGTCAACAATCAACACAAGTCTATGGACAGCCAGTAGAAATAGAATACATACAATGAACATCTTTATAAAGTCGTGTCCACTCTATAAATCCGTCATCGCTCACAGTTCGTGTGAACGTTGGTGATCTGTTCCATCTCTGTCCTCTGGAGCTCCCACCACGCCCCGGGCCCAAATGATCATTGCACAGGAGAGACCAGTAGCACAAGGCTGTTAGCTGGCTTTGGTACAAACATGATCAACTGTTCGATTTCTGCCGACAATGAGCGTGAGGCAAGAGCTCTATCAGTGCTGATTACCCCCCGTCGCAAAGAGCTGCGTTTGGGGACTCCGAGATGGCTGCAGCAGTGACTGTTACCTGAAAACTACTGTTGACAAGCCCTTATCTCCCTCGTCCTCCGCCCGAGCATCAGCAGCGCAGGCAGGGTGAGCAGGCACACGTCTCCTTTACGGATTCCTTCTCTTAACTTAAGGCAATACGTTTGGATAAATGAATAAATGGAGGGAGTGATGCAAGAAGTCAACGGCCTGCTTATCCTGCCTCGTCCTCTTCACACGCAGAAACATCAAGGGTTTTGTTTACCGCTGTGCTTTGTTTGTTTGTTTGTTTGAACCGAACACCATTTTAGGTTCTGCTGCAAAGGTCATGATCACGTGTCCTGACGTAAACAGCAGAACCCGACAGCTGCAGTTGATCAGTCGGTACCAGCCAGCTTGAGCTTTAAACACTGCCGCTTTACAACAACAACAAAAAAAAAAGTGCTGTTCTTTTTATCCGTTTTCATCAAAATGGAATCATCATATTAAGCATAATAATTAACCAGAATCATCAACATCATCATAATAATAATAACACTAAGAATATACAAATGATGGGTACAGAATTTATACAAAATACCCTACGCTGAAACAAAAGAACATAAAAGAAAACAAACCACAGTAAGACATGCTCTAAAGCAGTTAAGTTTGGCAAGAAAGCAGTTTTGTTGTATCATAAAAACCTCACAGTGAAAATAGTTATGCCCCTTCAGGATTACAAAGCACAGTATTCAGTCAAAATCAATAATATTTCTCTCCTTCGTTCTTCTTCTTCACAGAAGAATCAGACTGCGCGGCGTTGACATCCAAAGTTTAACTCCCCCTTCCCCAACGACTCCGATATGTTCCTTCACCTCCGCCCGCTCCAAAAAGTACCGCTCTGAAGGAGCAGTCAGCGACGATCGGACTGAAACCAGCAGCCCACTGGCTGCTCAACCTCTAAGGAACCGATCCGAAAGAAAGAACCAACTCTTAGCTCGAGCTTGTTCCAGATAAAAATTTAAATCTCCGGAACTTTACTCCGTTTTTAGTTTCAATTTCATCAGGTTGTGGGGAAATTTGATCATTCGGAGGTAAAAATCTGCTCTCTGCTGCCTAAATGACAGATAAAATAAATAAACTACACCATTTATGGAAGTGACGGGGCATCCTTCACTGCCAGAGGTCGGGCAAATAGGTGGAGGTTCAGGCCCTCCGCCCACAGCTCGGAGGTGGTGATCATTGCTGACTTTAGCGAGAACAGTTCGGCATGTCCTTGCTTTTAATAAATACTTTAGTCTTTGGTCAATATATTCCTCCTCGGTTTATACATATAGTCATACACACACAAATATGCATGTACATACACACTTATCAACGTGTAATAAACTGGATATTTGTGCACGTATGTGTTCACACGTTTTCATAAAGGACCTTTAGCACAAAACATCGAGACTGAAATAAATAATTAATGCAGAAACAAAGCATGAGTACCTGTTCAGAATTCATGTGAAATTAAAAATGACCCAAAAAAAAGGTAAAAAAAAAAAAAAAACACAAATTAAAATAAAAAACAAGGTAGCCTTATGTACAGCGTTGCTCGTCGTTTTCAACACAGGCTAAAAGGCGTTGTTTTTAAATAAACAGACTTTGCATCTTTCAAGAAGCCTGAGAGAGAGGCTAGACATGAGAAAAACACGCGTCCTTCGACATGTACGAGGGCCGACGTGGCTGTCAAACAACAAGTTCCTCTTCTCACTGAGAACACTTCTCTCATGGAGTCCGAAACGTCCCCGACTTCCTCTTTGCTTGGAATTCAAGTGATGGCGATTGTAGTTGTTTTAGCTGTTGGCTCGCACTGTGAGCGCTCGCTCAGCGTTGCTGTGTCCTTCCACAGGGCATCGTCCCGGCGTCTGCCGCTGCTGTCGTGGCCGCTAACTGTTGGGAGGCCCGTCGTTCAGGAAGTAGGTGGTCATTTCCCCTTTACCTTTGACCTTAACCACTCCACGACACTCCAGAACGTAGCCTTTGTTTGCAAGCACCTGGTAGAGGTCTGTGGTCACCTGAAAACAAATACATATTTAGCTGAAAAATCAGATAAACACCAAGCATGTCATGTCAGTGGCAAGAACAATGCTGAATTTAAATTGTTTAAATGTTTTTTCAGAAACCTGCACCTTCTAATGAGTGCTGGGGAGTTCAAATGATGCAAGTAATGACCCGAGCATTAAAAAACAAAGTTGAATTTCTGCAAGATTTGTCAAAAAATCATGCACTGGTTCAGGAGATTTTTTGCTAAAATGACAAACACACAAAGTCATGAGCAAAAATACTTTTCACCTGCTGCTGAATGTGAAAAGACGAATAAAAAAGGAAAGAAATTAGGCCAAAAAACTGGATCGATTACATCTAGAGCACACACCTTTTTCACATTAAAAAAAATGTCCTTAGAATAAAAAGAAGCTGTTGTATTACAGATGTTGCATAATAATCAATTAATCCTTCCAGCTAACTTGTTACAAAATTAACATTATATATATATATATATA